AAACAGAAACTCTTATTTTAGAGGAACTTTACAAGCTTGTCACTGGTTACTCAGAGAAACAAACAGATAAGCTTATTTGAGCTGGTTTCTTCTGTATCTTATACCCAACAGAGGCGCAGAAACTGTGAACTCAAGTCAACTGTTTTCATCTAAAACTAACAATATTTCTGAAAATTGCAATGAAAATGTCGAGTTCAATTAACCCACATTTTTCTGACATTTGTCTTGAGTCGTGAGGCTGAAAGTCCAGTCAGGAAAATTTAAATATTCTGCAGAATTTGCCTGTATGGAAACTAAAATCATTCCAAATATTACACCAACGCTGTCAACATAAAGTGGAGCTCTACCAAAAATCAGTTTAGAGTTTATTACCACATGATGATGCAATACCAGGGTTTAGAAAATGAGCCGTCACTCAACAGCGTGATTATATGACGTCAGATTACAGTGTGTTAACATAGACTAAACTGTCTCTTTTATTATGTTTCAGAACACATTAGAAAAAATATGTTCTTCTTTGTACCAAAATAGGCCTAATTTATGAATGCAACATATTTTATTTTAGTAAATTATATTTAAACATATGTTTTGAAACTAAAGTCAATCATTGTTAAAGAGTAAATCTCCATGGTTGTTGTTGCTTTAGTGACTCAAATGCTGTTGATCATCAAAATGAACATTTTCTTACCATGAACTAAATTTATTTTAGTTTTAAACACCTGGTTATTAGAAATAACAAAGTAGTAAAGTTACATTTATAGATAAGCAGATGACACCATCATTCACCACTATGGACTCTTAAATATGTATAAATGAACTGATTATGATTTCTTATAATTGCCTAGCTAGATACAAATTGCAACATAAGTTACAGGAATCTTTCAGATATTTAAAGTAAACATAAAATGCATATTTAAGTGTTTTATATTTGTCTAACATGAGAAGAGATCATTTTTCTTACCTATTACCATCTGGATAGACGCACACTGAGACCTGCATTGGTTGAAAACTAAGAAATCCAACCGTCTTCTGATCAGTGAACTCACCATTCCAAAGCATTTATAGGTCAGACTGACAAAAACACTCTTCGGTGTGGAAGTTGTTATTG